GTATATGATTGTCTGGAATGCTTTCCACTTTGGTAGCAATGCAGCATCAAAAACAGATAAAGAGAGCAAATTCTTTGAATGTTACAAGAAAAGAATCTCATTTGTCTATGCTAATGCACAGAATACATTAGTGTAACATGCATGCATCATACCTTATACTTGTCCGAGATATCAGACACTGAAAGGCCTATTTCAAACTCAGCTTCCTCAGTAGGTGTTGACAACTAAGAATAAACACAAAAAATTAAAAGCAATAAGATTTCCATCTCAGGAAAACAGATATTGGAAACTCAAAGAAATATCCTTTACACCTGAAAAATAACTTTGGTGAGTAATATTGGAAAAGAGGAGAGGATTAAAAAGAGAAACAAAAATTCCCCTTAAAAAAGAAGCAAGGAGAAAAGCATAACCATCAGCACACCTTTATTTTCTTTGAATTTCTTTCCTCTTCATGGTCTTGGACCGTCCTCTGAACATGGTTAACATGATGATGCAAAATATCAGAGGTAGTTTGTTAAACTGATACAAATACAATCAAAAAGATGGGGATTAAAAAGTTCACCTTGAAAAGGAGAAGGAAACAATAAAAACCGAGCAGATACATAATGATCCAATTACTTCAGGCATGCATGATAAGAGAAAACTCCTCTGAGGATGTGTCTTTGGGTCATCTTTAGTTCCACCTTTCATGGACTCTTAATTTTAGGATGCTTGTAGAAACTACCATCAATAAGCAAAAATATATATTAATACAGTCTATACAATTCAAAGTTTAAATAAAAGTGTATGAATAAGACTCTGAATATATAAGCTCATTAATACAATCTTTCAATATATGCAACTTGGAAACATACAATATGTAAATGCTAATGTACATATTTTATTTCAGAGATTCTCATTTCATTAGGAACAAACATTTTACTTCAATCTTCGCAAGCAGAAAAAAAATTTATCTGAATTCTAAGTTTACACAAAACACAACATGCCATCCAGCTAAGCAATTAATAAAAAATCATCAATTTATTTAACACTTATTCACCCACTAAGGCACTAAGCCTGCATTCGGAATTGCTTTTATTTTAAATTAATATTTTTATTATATTCTTAGTAATTTTACATATTCACACAATTTTTTCAAAGAAATTATCATATGTTAACATAATTTTTGTAATAGAGAATCATATCTTGTACTTCAAACTATGTCAAATTGTAAAACATAACCCATTAAATATAGTGGGCTCCTAAAATCAACGATCAACTTACTATCTAACTGTTTTTAATTATTCAATTTAATACAACATGTATTGCATAACAATTTTTTATTTTGTGATAGAAAAGGTCATTGTCACACCATTACCCAGTAATCCTAATCGCAGCATGATACAAGAGTTTAAAATCCATTAGCAAAAATGAAACACACACCAAAGATAAAAATAAAAATAAAATTTACATCTTCTTACCTGTCTATGTATCAGATCACCCGACAAAAGATTAAACCGACAGCTGCCCTTTATATGTGCCTAACAGTCACTACCCTAATTTCATAAAAAACCAGCACCTCCAGGACAGGTCGGGTCAGATCTTGACCCTGCGTTCATTCGGATCAGTCGATCAGACCACTCAAGGACGAGAAAAAGATTTCAGTCGGCTCTGTCAAGACAAGAGAGTGGTCGTACAGAGCGCAAAGGACGGTGGCGTCATCCGTCAGCCTTTCCGACCAGATCCGACATCGCTGAGCCCCTCGCTGGCGATGCAATTGCAACCCACATTCGTCGGATGCGTTCACTTCGGCATTGACTGGAATTTCAATTTCAAGTGCTCGGAGAGAAGTACGGTAAAAGAAGATAACGTGGGCAGTACACATATTAGAAAAAAAAATTTCATTTCTTTCATTAAAACGCACCGTCAAGGGGAAAGAACTGGAAGAAAACTTACAAAGGTGATAACATAAAAAACATTTAGGTTTTTAGCCAAAATTTTCAACAAACATTCAACATGAAATAATAATTCACATAAAAAGACATAACAATCACAGAAAGAAAGGGCAACTGCCTGCAGCTGCTGCTGCCAACTAATTAAGTTCATGCACACATTATTTTTGTCAGATCTTCTTGAAGGAAGAAAGCCAACTGCAAGAAGTTATAAGAAAGGTTTAATCTGCACAATGACATCCCCTCTATTTATCATTTGTGAATTTGACCAGAAATCTTGTTCTTGGAAATATCCAATATTAGCAAACTCTCTGCCTTCCTTAAAAAACTTGGGAACTTGTGAATGTTGCAAGAAGAGAATCTTAGAGACAAAAGTTTCAGAAAGGAATAGTTGACACCAGTGCCATTAATGCTCAAAGACAGCAAACTATTATTGGAAAGATCCAGATCACAAAGGTTTACAAGTTTTGAAAGCATGTTGGCTGTAATGGTGCCACTTAAAATCTTAAGGGACTCCCCAACGAAATGAAGTTTCTCCAGGTCAATTGGATGCAATGCCTTCAAGCACTCCTCTAAAATAATTGGTTTCTGAATGACAGGGCCTCTCACTTGTTCAATGTCAAACGCGACACCAAAAGCAGGAAGCGGTGTAAGTATGTCCAAAAAAATTATTACTCCATCCGGAGAGAAGGCTTCCCAGGGCTGCAAAGAAATTTTCACAATAAGATCAGTTGTCTCTGACCTTTCTCCGAAGGATGGGTACTTCTCTGCAAGCTTTCTGTAAACAGCCATATACCTTCCTGCTTGGTGCATCATCCATGCTGGAGGCTGAATTATGGGTTCCCCTCTTGCAGCCTTAACTAACAGTGGGTCTGAATACCATACAAATGACAATAAAGAGAATATGTAACCCTCTTCCAATGATAGGCTTTTTATTGAACTTTTCTTCTAAACAAAACCATCAAAGACCATAAGATCAATAATCTAACCCATCACATTAAGAATAAATTGTGATCCTTCAAAGTCATTTAAGTGATAAACAAATGTGGCTTTTGCAAATTGTGACTCGGAGAAGACATTCAACCTAAAATATTAGGCAATTCGATGTTAGGGTTTGCAAACAATTTTCATTTCTAAACAAGACACCATTGATGCTTTAAACATTACTAGAAACACAAAATTTTAACATAAACCAAACCTATTTCAACCTGCAAAACTTGATTCTGGCCTACCTTTCACCCATTTGGATTTTCAATATTTTATGGCACATGGGATGTTAGCCCCTTAGCAGTTAGCATCGCATAGGTTTAACCCCTAAACTTGACTCAAAATCAAAGCTTTGTAATTAGTGGTACAAACTCCGCTAAGCTCTTGTTGGTAGGGTTTTCAATTGTTCAACATAGGATTGCTTGTCTCATGTCAACAATTTTCCGTAACATGACAGAATAATTTCAAGTGACCACAAATCACAGAATTCAGTTTCCCACTAAAGCATTCACTTCCAAATTAAATCCCTTCTACATGTATCACCATTGCCAAACTATACAACACAATTCACCAAGCACTAACTAAGAGACTCACTCTCGGTCTTTTCCTCACTAGGTTCCTTTAATGAGTCAAAGAAATCAAATGACTCTTTAATTTGAGAACTAAAAAATTTCAGTAACCACATAAACAACAAACAAAATCAACCAAAACCAGAAAGAAGAAACAAAAAACACCCTATTATCAGATTCATTTAACAAAACGCAATTGCTTAAACTAAACAAAAAATGGAAGAAAAAATCTTCATGAGATTAATTCGTAAACATTACCAGGAGAAGATGAAGAAGAGCAGGATACAGAAAATTTCTTGGAATTAAAGCTCGCTCTTTTAGGAAACAGCACAAAAGCTCCATTGAAGCTACCATTATTAGAGTACAAATGAAGATTCAAGCTCTGGGATTTGAGTCTTAAGAAACGGCATGCACGCAGTAAAACAACTGGTTATATAAAGTGCGAATTGGAGCTCAATGAGAAGAAATTTTCCAACAAAAGAATCGAAAGTTGTGGGTAAAAAATCGTGGGTATTTGGAAACTGATGAAAAACTTACCTGGTTGGCGACGATAAGCTCATTTTGTGAAGAGATTTTGAGGGAGAGAGATGAAGTTCGCGCTCTGCCTGTTCACTGCTCTTGAGCAAACAGCGGTTTGACTCAAGCTGGTAAGCTCAAGTGAAGGCTGTGATGTCGCCACGTGTGATCCCTAGATAGAATGCTTAACCAGATCAGGTGCCCCTAATTGAAAATTTCATTAAATTTGTTTTTTTTTTAAGGCAACGATTAAATTGGTTAAATTTTTTTTGGCCATCAATTTGGCTAATTTAGTATTGATATTTGAGTTATAAAAGGAATAAAATGTACTGAAAATAGAAAACAATTACTTCTTCAGATCCTTGCAAAGATTGCCCATAAGAATAATTTTAAATTTTCTATTCAAATTTTGTTGGTTTAGTTAAATTTTGATTAATCAAATTAACTGAATTAACCAAATTAATTATATTTTTTTATAGAGAATACTATTGATATTTCAAAAAATATATATATATATATATACAAAGAGAGAATAGTAAATATCATATCTAATTGTAAAAATGCTAAGATATCAAGGATATTGAGAAATTTTTACAGCCTTAACTCAAATAAAAGAGATAAATCACCAAAAGAAGCAGCTAGGAAAGGAAACAGATGATCGAAGCTAGAGTATTGACACAACTAACGTGAATTTTGGTAAAGGATACAGCCATGAAACCCCCTGCAAACACTTCATTTGAGCATGGCAACTGCCACAAAAATTGGACTTGATGTTGAATTTTACCAAAAGAGAACTGGATTTCCATATATCCGTGTCAATCTGATGTCTTATACAGACCAGCATGAGCATTGAAGCAACTCAACTGCTAAATATTAATGATCAGACTTTCTGCACTCTAATAACAGGCCTTGTCTTATTCTCTAATAACAGGCCTTGTCTTATTCTCTAATAACAGGCCTTGTCTTATATATACATGTCAATATTAATGATCAGAGTTTCTACATTTCAGGTTTACTGAAAAGTCGAAGACTAGAATGGGATTGCAATTTACAGCACCAAAGAGGCCAGATTTGTAAACATACTTGTATCTTCATTCCATCACCAAAAGCCATGATAAAGAATGCATGGTCAAATAGCTTACCACCCTCACTGTCAACTAAGATGAAGGTATCCATCTGCTGCTCAACCCAAAGCCAAGACTGGATCCTGTTCTTCAATTGCATGCATTTCCAACTTCATCATTAAGAATGGTGTAGTTTGAACTGCTAATGTTCCTAAAGTAGCAAAATTTATTGCCTTCACACTTATACTTTTGTTGGGTACACCCAACTCCACTGACAAGCAATTTGTTCTTAACAACCTTTATGCCCTGCCCATTCTGTAAATTCTCAAGAGAACTGACAGGCATTCGGAAACCAGCGCCTCTGACTCCAAACTTGTTTTCATTAAATCCCAGCATAACATTAGCTACAGATAAATAAGTTCTATTTCCTTGATCCATATCGTTGGAGTATAAGTCAATAAGAAACCTCTTAAGTGATTTGTTTTCTTTGGAGAAAGCGTATGGCTTCTTGACCTGAACACTGTCATCAAAACGGATCTCCTGATTCACCATCTGAACATTCCCATTATTTCCCATCACCATTGAGTTAGCATAACTAAACTTTTGAATGGCTTTAGTAGTGATCTTGCCATGAGATGACTTAACCCATCCAGTTGAGGATATGGACCTGTTTGCTTTTGTCAAGAAAGTTCCATTTAAACCCTTGAAATATGATGAATAGGAAATACCAAGAGGCATAACCTGATGCTGAAGAAGCTTCCTTCAGTATATGTGTTCTTTCCATCCAACCAGAGATGCAAATTGGCATCAATATACCACACATTCAAAGCATTTGTAACGTGGAACTGCAATGTATGTGTTTTACCATCCAACATATTCCCTAAAAACGGAGTAATTTCAATATCATATGAAGGGAGATCAAATGATCCAATGCCAGAAATTGGTCTCCACAAGAGGGGGTTAATCCCTCCTGTATAAACCATAGTAAAAGGCCAAATTGCACCAATCACATTTCCATCAAGAGTAACCACAACTTCCCTGAAAGGTCCATTTCCTGCTGTGTCAGTAAGATTATGAGCCAAAAGATAGTCATTTGGTGGATTTCCATACCAAAACTCATCACTCTCATGGAATGACACATACAACTCTAAGACAGCCCTAAACACACTTTGAGGAATTTTGATTTCCTTCCCCTCAGTATCTGTGGAATTCTCAATTTCAAACCACAACCCATCATTCAATGGAAAATTCCGTGAAATGGGTAAGATTAAATCAGCCCTAGAGCCGTACCCAGATGCCAAGTTCTCCAAATTGCTCTCAAAGTCATTGAATTTCTTCTCAGCAGGGTAATAATAAGCAGTTATGTTCACATGATACACGCCAGTATAAGTTCGATCAACTAAATTAGCCAAATAAACAGCAAGACTTTGTGTTTGATTCTTAACAAGCAAAGAGTAATACCTTGTTATGTCCTTCTTGACACTCCACACAATCCCAGTAGCTCTTGGCTCTGCAGTGCAGCTCCTAAGAATCTCGACCCCACCTAGCCAGATCCCAAAAATCCGATCAAATTGCCTTCCTTTGCAGGTGGCACTCCATTCAAGGACAATTTTAGAGAAATCGTGAGATGGACAGTGAGAAGGTGGGATATATTCTGCGAGAACTGGAGGTTTCCCATATGTATATCCGAAATCATGGTGGAGAATGGGATAGACGCAAGGTTGGGTCTTGGGAAGTCTGATGGGTTTGGTGACTTCGAAGTAGGTGGTTGGTGGGGTGTCGTTGAGGTGGGATGTAGTGGTGGAGGAGAAGAGACTTGATTTGAGGAGGGTTTTAGATTTGTGGAGGTTGGCAGTGACGGAGAGAGGGAGGAGTAGGAGAAAGAGAAGGAGAGGGCGGAAAGCGGAAGCCATGGATGGTTGTTCGGTTTTCCGAAGGAGGGTATGTTGTGCGTTTGTATGGAGCGTGGACATTCCGAGGTGAGCAATGCTATGTGCGCTCTCCAATTAACACCCGCCTCGACGCTCACCCTTCCATACTACCACACCATAATAAAAATTGAAGGTGATTTGACTCCAAACCCGGTTACGGGAAGATGCCAGTGACTACTATTTTTTTTTCTAATAAACTCAAGAAGCAACAAAAAACAAAGACATTATTTGTTGCCAGATCTTTCCCGGAATAGGAAATCAGATGCGCCTGCTTGCACCTTTGTAAAATAAAACAAAATCAGAAAGATTGACCTTCAATATTATATAGAACTCAGAAAGAACATACACAAATAATACATAGAGAGTTTTAGAAACTTACCTAGGAGCGTTGGTTGGGTTTTTGGGTTTTTCTCTCCTCATGCCCTCCATTGCATCTTCCAACAAATTTTTGCTGATATTTCTCCACCTTCTTCGCTACCCACGATGGTTTTTTTTTTTTCCTTTTAAGAGTGATTTAGACAAAAATATAACGTTAATTTTAGTACAAAATGGTCGTGGTCTTTAATTTTTGTTGTTAAAATTTAGGGTAAATATCACACTTAATCCTTAATTTTTACCATAAATACTAAATATTGACTTGACCTTTTATTTAAACTAAAAATAGTCCTCAACCCTTTTAAAATTACTAAACTTAATTCTACCATTAGTTATTTTTGTTAAATTCCTAATAAAATTTGTTAACTAGAATTATGGAGGTCTAATCGAAATTTTTGCAGAATTTTTTTAATTTTCATTAATCTAAAATTATTTTTATTAAATTTTAGACTCTTTAAAGACCTTAACTTTTTTTTGAAAAATGTTTGAGAAATTTTCTTCTTTTCATATAAGGGTTTATATATATGTTAGAGGTTGAAATTCTACAATTTAAAATGAATTTTCATTTTATGTTTTATTGATATATTTTATATAGCAATAATTTAAATAAAAAATAAATTGTAATTGA